CTTTTGAAATTCTAATAAATATTATGTATTCTTTATATAAATATAAATTAATAAAAATTGTAAACTAAGTTGTTTTGTATCATAATTAAATATTATAAACAGCACCAATTAGTTGCATCAATATATGATAAGTTAGATGTAGGAAATTATTTGATATTTAGGCAATTTTAAAAACGAGTTGAATAATTAAATTGGATATACAATAAAAGTATCTTTAATTGATATAACCTTACCTCTATTATTGCAAGCCATAAAAAAAGTAAAATATTTTAATAACCTACAATTGATCACTCTCAATTCATTAAATTGCATTTAATTTATTGCAATATGTTAATAGCTTTTAAAGATTAAACAATATTAGAGTTTATAAAAAATAAATCTTTTGATAATAAAAAAAACTAACAACTTGTAAGTTTAAAAAATCATTTTTAAATTTAATAAATTAATTTAATAAAATATTTGAAACAAAACTTACCTTGTCATGAAACCAAAACCAAATATTAAGATTTATGAATGAAAACATTGATGTATTTTATTTTTACGTATTGTGCCAATAAATAGACATTATACTAAATTAATTCCTTGAATCTATATTTTTGTGTTAATTTTTTATTATTCTGTTTAAATTAGCTTTAAACGTAGAATTATAAATAAAAATCATATATGAAAAGAAATAACAACAATTTATAAACAATAACACAACTTAAAATATTTTAATAGATTTAATAATAAAAATTGAGTTTACAAAAAATGAAAACTATATTCAGAATAAATGATTGTTTGAAATGATTGTTTAGATTGTTTTGAGAGTTTGTATGTGAAGTGCGGATGTTTGGTATGTCATCGTAATGTGATTCAGGACTCATTGATTCATATACTTTCTCTTCAAATTCATTTGTATTATTCAAATCATTTGAATTTATAGTTTTTAATTCATCGAAAGTAGTAGTAGTAGTGGTTTGGACTCCAATTTCATAAACTGTTTAAAATAAATCAAATTGAGATTATACTGTAGTACTTTGTATAGTAAACTAACAATTTTTAAATAAGATTACATTCATCAGACTAATATCTTGATTTAATTTGCATTATAAATTATATAAAATATAATTAGAATTGCCTTTATAAAATAAACCTATCTAGATAAGACTTTAAAATCACAAACATGTAGTTTTACACAATAATCCTAAATAAGCATACAAAGGTTATGTAAAACTTTAAGAAATCGTATACAATGTATTCAATTTAAATAAAATCATACTTAAATATTAGTTAAATTGATTCAGTTCTCAAATATGATTGATAACATATTGAATCAGCCCTCAAATTGTAAGTTTTAAAGCTTGTAGTAAATTACAATAGTACAATACATTTTTAAAACTATTACATTTTAAAATATAAACTGAATTACTGTAAATGGTAAAAGTTATATCTTTATTATAAATAATAAACAATAATGAAAATATAATAAAAACTTTATAAAATGAGAATATTAAAATATAAATTTTGACTCTAATTTTAAATCCTTTAATAAATATTCTGCGGTTAATACTAATGATTAATGCTAACCACTAAACTTTATAAACTTAATAGTTTGTTTTTATTGTATTAGATATCATAATTTGTCTTAATAATAAAAACAAGTATTTGTAATGATGAATGAAATAGAAGTGATTTTATTGATATAAAAATTATGTGTTGATTACCATTAAGACTGATTGTACTCCTTATGGCTCCCAATCGGTTATTTGAAAGGCAAACATATTTTCCGGCATCTCTATAGTCTATGTCAATAATTGTTAGTTTAAAATATACTTTAAAGCCATTCGTATCAACAGTTTTAACGATATATTTATAGGAATTCTTGGAATCTATTTGATTGCCAAACACATCGATCCAAAAGTGTTGAGCCTTTGGATTGGATTCTGTGATACACTCGAGGGTTACGTTTTGGTCGACATAAGAAGAGACCATTTTATTTGGAACTGTTATAGTCGGCGGAACTGAATTAAAAACAAAAAATATGAATCAATTTATGTAAAAACTATGGCCCGCACTGTCTTATGACATACACTCGACTTCTAAGTATATATTTCTTCGGATAGAAGGACTGATTTGGTTGGAAGCGATGCACACATAGTAACCGATTGCCGATCGACTCACTTCTCGCAAATGCAATACTTCTGATTCAATCGATTCTGAATTTTTATAATAAATTCTTATTTTTATTTTAATAAACATTTAAAGAATTGTTTGTTTTAGAAAATATAAATAAACCTATTATTTGGTTGGAATTGGTCTCTACCAGAAGGGGCTGACCGTCTTGTTTACGCCAACTGATCGTTGGCTACAAATAAAATGATAAAATATAGTATTTGTTAAAATTTTCAATTAACACAAAAATATTACATACTTTAGGATTTCCTGTGGCTTTACACGTGAGGTTTACATTTTGTAATTCTCGGACTCTGACCACTGAATTACTTTCCATTGATTGGATTTTATCAAATTGCAGGGGAACTGGTTCATATAAGTTATGTTCAGAAAATGTAATAAATCAATTTGCATATCTTATATAATTTTCCGTTAAATTTTGTTTTTAAATAATAAGACTTAAATTAAACTAGTTAAAATTAATGGAATATTAAAACAATAAAATATAATGCACCAGAACAATAAAATACAATCTGTTGTATATTGTATAAAAATTGAAATTTAATAATAAATAGGTTACCAAAAATATTTAAGAATTTAAGTAATCTTTTTGGTGGAGTTGTATGGATTTGACAGATATAATAACCGGAATCACTTAGTGATGCGTTCGTAATGATTAAGCTCCTAATGAATTCAAACAATGATTTATTGGACAAATACCATAATTTGTTTGCAAATAACTTTGCAATAATGATCACCAGTAAGATATGTCTCCTTTTGATGTCTTTGTAATATTTATTCTTGGATTATCAACGATTACAACGTTCTGTACGACTAATAACATCTGCTTATCCACAGAATCCCAACTAATCTATTAAGATATCAAGTATTTATTATAATTTTATGTGTATTACACTATATAAACAGACTTTATATTTTCCTAAATTCTTGACCGGACACGACCTGTAATTATAAGATCACAATTTTAATCATAACTATTAGATTACAGACAAA